CAACCCCCAACCTGGAGGGCTAGGAGACTGTGTTCGTCAGACCTCTAACCATTGACCAACCTGGTATGAGAGACTCTGTGAGTGTCGCGGGACACTCTCCAGTATAGCTCAATGGATCGCTGAGGTGCGCAAACCGTCACACCACGGTAAGGTCCAGTCTCTTCGTGACGGTCTCAGAAGGCTGAATATACTGAGGCCAAATTGGACTTCGAAAGAACTAAGGATACTAAAAAAAATCCAAAAGCTAATACACACCGAAATACACACCGAAAAAAAAATAAAACACCGAAATACAACACCGAAGTTATATAAATATGAGTGTAACACTCCCTCTTCATAGGAAAGCCTATTGAAGAGTACCCACGTTAAAGTATTGCTTAGCTAGACGTAAGATACCAGAACGAAACCAAAAAATATCATAAATATTTCATTTTACAAGCACCGCGAGATTGTGCGCATATTGTTAAACCACACTGATTGAATGTGTTGCCAATATTTAGACAAAAGTGGTCCGTTATGCAATGTCGCTGAACTTTTAAAAATTCTGGCGTCCCCACACAAGAACCATCACAAGAACAATCAAGGTTCCATCACAATGCTTCTTAATACCTTCTCCGTTTTGAACTAAGCGCCATTCCCGATAATGGCATGCGCGCGTAATCTTTCAAGACGCAAAAACTAGATCTATGCGCCGAGGGAAGAACATTTCCCTGGAATAGCTAACAGAGAAATCACTGTTATAACACGGACTTGAGAAGTATTGTGAGCGGCGTTCGCCCACAAACTGAGAATTATGGATTATTTTTTTGTATTTTCAAGAAATGGAACTCATCATTATTGTCAGCTATAAGAATCACGTACTTGTCGCACAGTGGTCATAGCTGCCACAGTTTCGTTCACCGATGATTTGGTTAGGTGGGGTAGGTAGCTGAGCATTGGAGGCGAGAGCTTACATAATTGACGCTTAAATACAGGGTTGTCAGTGGCTTTCCAGTTTGGGAGGTTGAGAAGGGAGCTATGCACTGAAGACCAAAGCTTGGATGCAGGAGCGCCATTGAGGGCGCGACTGGGCCATGTCTGACAATGTCTCTGACCAATGACATGCGGGGCTAAAAGACCCGTGTTCATTTTCCATGTCTTTATCAAAACCAAGCGGGCATAAACGATAAACCTGATAGTGAATTTACACGTCAGGTGCGACAGTTCGTCATTTCTTGTCGGGCCAGGCAAGTGATGCACAGTGATGCAGAAAGATGTGTCATGTGAAAGAAAGAAATCAGTGAGGTGGCCGGGCGTAACCAACAACTCAGTGCCCTTTGCCGATATTCTCAAGGATGGTCACTCAATATCAAGACTGAATAAAGTATGGTAAGAAAAAACAGCCAGATGTATCGCCGATTGTCAAAACTGCAGTATATCGACTGCGCGGAGTGTAGTAAGGTGAACAGACATAATCTACAGGGTGCATTATAATTCCTGTTCAACTGCGGAAGACAACGAATTCAGCATGTTTCGTCGGTATCCTCAGGGCGGACGACTGCATGATTAAAACCACTATCAAATAGAATAGTTACAACATGATCACTAGGATACAATCAACACTAACAGTTGAAATGCAGGCGGAATTATCATACCACCACCCCTTCATGGGAACTACCCCCCTAGAACGAGTGACTTTGTTAACCTGTATCTAAGCGTTCACAGTAGGGGACCTGTATCACAATACATAAAAATAGAAAAGGGGATATGACCAGTTTACAAAGTACATCGTTACTTAACCAAACATCCGCAGTACATGCATGCATAATAATCAACCGTTTTTCCGTTGAAAGGTTCTGTTCTCAATCCCTTATTGCATATGGTATTACAATGACAGGACAACTGAATTCGGTGGAATGCACAGCAAATCAACAAACTTACTTTGGTCAAACAGGTCTCTGGCGGAGCTGTCTTCTGTGGAACTGAGCACAGCTGCGAATTAGAGTATCCAAGATAAATTGCAACAATGTAGGCGGAAGGATTTTTGAATCAACTGTAGAAGTTCAGTTGGGAGAGATCACACTGCAAGAACCTCAAATTATCACACCTGTGTAGCTTATCAATAAACAAACATCTGTTAGAGAAAAATCACAAAAACGCATATTGGAAACCCATAAAGTCTATCAGAACTGAGTTTATTCCAGATGGCAGGAGAAAATCTATGATATCACGCCGATGTCAAAGGCCATCAAAAGGAAGAGAAATGATAGTTTGTCCAACGACTATACACACAAATAGAACAGAAAAACCCGTCTAGGGTATTTTCTGTTAAGGTCCTTCAGACTGATAATCATTCACCAAAAGCCCAAATATGTCAACATCAGAAGCGTCGACCTCTGAAGATGTTGTTCTCGTTCGTCGCGTCCAGCCCAAGCAGGTGTTTCGCTATGAGCATCATGTTAAGGTGAAATATATTCATTGGGGCGTTTGCATGCTCAACAGAGGCGTTCACTTCAATCGGAAAACGAAAACTCAGTGATCCCATTAGGCATCAGTAACGGCGAGGATAAACAATTAAAACAGTCTGTGTAGCTAACTGTGGTCAGTTCGGGCAAGCTGTTCGATAGTTACTTGCTACATACCGTTTCACGAAGCACTTCTTTGAAAATGGCCACGCAGGATGGATCATTCATAAGGATGAGAATCATTCATCATTGAGAAAGAACTCCATCCTAACTAGGACAAACAATTTTGAGAACGGTACATTTCGCTTTTCTCGTGGAAATACTCCCCTTGGAATCAGCAACGTGGGTTCGGTGCAGAAAACGTGCCCATCAGATTATGGCAAAATATGGTAATTTACGAGTTAGAAAGCGGGTTTTCTTGAACACTTTAATGCTCGCCCGTTTCGGGTCTTCAGTTCGGGAAAACAGTTCAGAGAATAATCAATGCATTTCTACTACTGACTTTGGCACCTAGTCATGTCCTCCAGCATTTTTGACCACGTACGGCGTATTTCAGTCCCCAAAATGAGGGACACGATGAAGCCACCTTGGCTAAATCTACCGTTGTTCTCCACTACTCGTCGCCAGCTCACTGATCTGTCATTCAGCCCTTGCCGGTGTGCAGGCAAAGGAAGGAAAAGAGGTCACGTGAGACCCTATAGACAATGCAGTAAAGATTGAAGTTGGATCTTTTAAGATGATCGATGCCTCCCTCAGTTTATTAAGGCCATAACACCTCCAGTAAAACCTACCTTCCCTTTCAGAAGCAAAAGGAGGCGCATTTGTAGTTCTGCTGTCGGGAGTCCAAGCTCGGACAATTGTAGTAGCAGATTCTCGTCCAATTGCTCTTTCTAAAAAAAATAACGTGGTTTAGGGACATATCAGTATTCTACACAATATGGGAAACCAGTTTGGACGATCCTGAGGACAGCAATATAATGATGTTCTAGAATGTTGTCTAACGGTCACATAACCACGAGTCGGAAGTGACAAAAAACTGTATGAATTACGTCTACACTGCTGAATTATATAAAGAAAGCTAACGAAACCACGAGCGAAAAACCGGGACAGAATACTGGAAGTCAAGTGATAACAGCAAGAAGACAAGGACAGTATGAAATTCCTGGAAAACACCGAACGGATTGTCAACCATCTAGGAAACAGACTGCAGTAAACTAGCAGGGAGAATCCCGGCACGTATATTCATAAACATGCACGGTGGTCCTGCATTAAAAGGAATCCTCTCCTTTTTGATCCTAGACTCACCTCCTCTCTAGCAAGGGAGAAAAGTTCGCAAAAGAGAATGCCCAACCACAGATTGACGTATTCTAATGACACATATATGCGACCTGTTTGGCGCTCAGCTTGTCCAGATTTGATCGACATGGTCTGACCAGAATATCTGGTCAGCCACGCCGACTGTCCACATGAGCACAGCAACAGCCACCACGAGCTTCACTAACAGGGACCACTGAATATGACACAAGCGAATGACCCAGTCTGCTATAATTCGCCCGGCACTGAGCAATCTTGTTGATTACCCTTGAATTTTATGAAGGCCATCTTCGCAAGACACGACGGAACTGTGTTGAACACCGATAGTCGAACCAGCGTCATCCCAAAGAAAGTGATAAGACCAACCGCAGCTGCTTTGGAAATTTTACACAGTTGGTAGTAAACTGATTGAACAGCTTTATTACCAAAAATAACTTGCACTGTGGGGGTCAGAACCACCATACTCACGCACACGGCTTGTTATTGAAAAACCTAAACATATCAAGTGATCATCTTTGTGTTCGCTCCTGATACTTCTAGTGAAAAGTAGGCTGTGTGATTGGATCTCCGGGAAAGCGCCCGCTAAACGAATTTATTAAGGTGTGTTCGATCGTCTGATGATGACAGCCTGACGAAAAGAATAACAAAACGATCCTATCAGAATTCCAACACTGCTGCGGCAGTGAACAGTATTCAGAGAGAGCAATTACTCGTGCTCAATTCCACTCGACCGATCACACCACGGTGAGAAAAAGCAGGAAAGTCCAACATGACTGACTGGACAGCTTTCAATGCGCTTTTCTAAATAAGGGGATCGCAAAAAAGTTTCAGGTTCAGTCCTGGCCAACAGGGTGTAATCCCTGCAAAACAGAACGATCGGTGGTCGGTCTTTAAAGGGAAATCATTACACTAGGCGTTACAGAGGTTCGGAAATTGGTAGGCAGCAACAAACGATGGATGAGGTACAAACTTTCAACTCACTTGAACTTCATCAAAGCAGAGAAGCAGTTGGTTTGCATCATCAGCCACTACGTCACCACATGTCTTGCGTTGCGCTATCGCAGTCGCCACGCGGAATCGAAGTTCTGCAAGAGCAATAGCTTGACCGACCTACGAGAAAATGAAACAAGGAAATTGGTAAAGATAAATCGTGGATGAAACGGAGTTAAACACATCATAAGCATAAGAACATTCAAGCAATACAGTTTGAAAGATGTGAACTGAAAGCTGGATTAAACAAGGAGGCCACTTACCGTTGAATCCAAATTGAAAGCTTTCATAACCTCTCTGGCTTCAGCAAATCGGTCTTCCTTCAAGAGGCGTGCGATTCTGGAAAGTCGTTAGAATTCAACCCAAAGATGAGGCCGTGATCATCCCGATTNCATGCAAGACTATAGCGCAAATATGCTAGGCGGATAAGGGAAAAGTCAACACGTCTGGATAGGTAAGCAATGGAAGCTGTGAAGAAATTAAATCTAACTCGATAGTAGAAAAAGGCAGACTTCGCACGCTGGAAAAAGCTGGAAGGGGCGGCAAGTCTAGAGAAATCAAGGGTTCCCTTGAATTTCCGAGGGCCGGATTCAGAAAAACATCCCAAATGAACACAATACACACATATCCAACAGTGGGTTACCTCTGATGCTTACGGTCAGTAGAAACTATGGGAAATCCTTCAACACGCTTTAGGAATATTATATTAAAAAAAAGGATATAGGGATATTCTGTACCCACTTACGGAGCAAGATGGCCCAAGTGGTTAGAGCGCGAATTTACTGACCGGAAGATCCGTGGTTCGAACCCGATCTCTGCCTCTCGACTTCCCCTGTCTAGGTTTGGGCAACCTGGCAGTATCCCAGACCTCGTGCTTCCTTAACTTAGCATCGGAGTTAGGCACCGGAAGACTGTTACAGCTGAACGATCTTTGATATCCGTTTACGCGATTTGTATTCACATTTGAACCGAACGTGACTCATGTTCTAAGTTTTCCGGAAGAAAATGCCCAATTAATCCTCAAGAAGTCCGAAACCAAGGGACAAGAGGAAAACGTAATCCATTTCTGATCCGATAAGCCTTGTGGTAGACCGCTTCTCACCACCCGTTGCTTGCTTTTAACTTCATCAAGCATGGCGATTACTAATTTCATAATCGAATACTATAAGCTCAATCTTATTTTAAGTCACAATCGAAGTGTTCGAAAAGTGATAGGTTGAAGACAGGATATTTGAGGGCAATATGTCCCCCACCGACGCCTACATAAGATCTTTCGTTAATGTTGTCACAAATCCGGATCAAAAAGATCCAAAGAAATGAAAGCACAGACTAAGCCGACTATTACGTTTTCTGTGACCAACCGTGAAACTCTAAACGGGTTTTAAGATTTCCACGAAGCAAAAATCATAGCAAACTTCTCCCAACCTGATAGTACTCGGAAGTACATTACAGACCGAAAACCCAGTCATTGCGCCAGATAACGCACCGCTCAGGTTTTAACAGTCGGTAAGGAGAGACTCTTCTTTTCGTTTGCATCTCGTAGTCTTCAATAGATACGTGGTCAAGAAGAACATCTGAGATCAACCTAAAACGATTCAAACAGTTCTTCTAACGATTTCCACATAAATGCGCAACCACAGATGTACTTTGGAGCACATTCTCAGCTGTGTTGGCTGGTGTTTTCGTTTGGTGTGCGGTAAAACTGGTGTTGATAGACGGGTGTATCACACTGAATTACTGTGATCCGGTTAGGTCGTACAATGCGTGAACATCTCATCACGACAAGTAAAATTCCAACGCACTTTATCGGTGAGGGATAATTAAATCGGGGTGTGGCGCTTCCTATTTTGGTATCACGTATGCAATAAAATACCGTTCCAACAATCGTGGGATCATTCAATGTTGAGCTCATCAAACATTAGATGAAAAAACGCTCGAAACGTCAACGCGATAGATTGTAAAGTTAAGTGTTACAACTTGCGACAGCTGATACTGTTGTAATCTGTGAGTTTTTGGATGCTTCAGAATTAAGGGGCTAGCAACCAACAGCTTTTCGGTCTTTTGACTACAACACGAAAATTCATTCTGATACACACACTTGAACAGCACTGTTTTGAAAAGTTCACAATACGGTGGTCGTTGGTTTGTTCGCAGAGACGGCAATTTGATTACAAACGTTTCACCACCAATCGGGTTGACAGCATCAGAGCCGTACATCATCATCATCATCATCATCGACAGCATGACATCAGTGCTCAACACCAATGCTTCACTGCCGTACAACCATGACTTATTTGAAAGCCTTATTGTAAAGAAAAGAATAAAGGTGGACGGGGAAGGGACTTAGTGCTAGCTTAACACAATCATTCCGAGGTGCCTACACCTCCAGACATTCATTCAGGCAATCTGGATAGAAACTGATAACAAGAACCCCACTGACATCGGTTGGCAGCCATATCCTGAAGTGTCTCCAACCAGGCGCAGTGGGGATCACGCGGTCCCCATCCTGGAAGGCGAGTAGCACCGACAGCACCCAAGCGTTTCGTGATCTCGTTCATACTCCTCTGCAAAGTCAAGGGTTGGCCACCTCTCTGCTTACGCCACTCTGAATTGGGCATGGAAAACAGCACTCTTTTCGGCAAACGATGGTTCGGCATACGTAATACATGTCCCAACCAACGCAGCTTCAGAGCCGTACAACGGTCACGTGTCTCGGATGATGCTCAATGTATCGAAGTTTACACTATTCATAAGGCTGTTTAGCAGTACCCTCTGTCAAGAGAACTTGCATTTCAATGTTCGGTTTTGTTGCGTATCAACAAACGGCCGATAACCAATGAAACTCGGACAGCTTACACAAGTCTCTATAACGAAGGCCGACACTACATTCAAAAGGAAGTGGGACTTAAAATGCAAAATTCAAGAAAGAATTTAATCCGGAATCCTAGGGCGAAAAATTTGGAGAATGGACTGAGCGTTTACGGCTGATAACCAGATTAGGTACCCACTAAAGATGTATAAAGGAACTAACCTTTGTTTGGGATCCAAGGTTTGCAGCATCTTCAGGGTAAGTTTCGACTTCGATTCACTATTGTTCACAGCATTTGGGCTCAACTCAGCAAAATATACGCCGTCCGATCCCACAGAGACGGTTAGAAGCCAAGATGTTTGGTGGACATAGACGCGATGAAGAACAACAGCACTGAAAGTGTTTTGGATACAACTATTGGCATTAACGTCACCAAAGCAATTGGATTTCACAACACTGCATAAGTGAAATACGATATTAGAAATCGGAGTTTGAAAATTCAATTTCATAAAGTTCAATATGACAGACTACACCATAAGACCAAAAACAAAATGTACGAATCGTTTCAGAAGGACTTGGTGAACAGTCGGTAGTTTTTAACTTCAAACTGACTGAAAAAGTGCGAACCGTTAACCTTTACGCTGAGTAAGTGCTCTTCAACACCTGATGACACAACACGGATGATCCACCGCTCTTATAGCGCTGAATGCGGATAAGCGATGGCTTTTAAATTGCCTCAACTGTCCGAGTTGTAATAAGTCGGGTGATTCACTCTGACTGAATTACCGATGCCGGCTGGAACTCGTGCCTTTACGCCCAAATGATCTGATAGTATGCGTTGGTCAGGTAAGTGGACCAGATGTCACTAGTCAATAGTAAAAAAATCGAGACGACAGTAACCCAACAGATTAACAGTTACACACAATTGCGCGATTAATCAGACTCGAATTTCTTTCAAAATCTTCCTCAGCATATCCGCACACGATTACTTTGGATTGTCGGCGCCAAACTCGGAGGCTTTCGTCAATTGCACTTGTTGGAAAGTGTCTGCCATGCATGTCCTCCACCGTGACGGGATGTTAACTCCAGACATCCGGTAGGTGAGGCGGACGTCACCGGGAGCAGTGAATCGACTCAACTTTCCTCGTGAATCGTCATTCGATGAGTCTGTAATTTTCACACATTAACATCAACACATCCGTCGGTTTTCATTGATTTAAGAAAACGTCACAAGCTGTAGATAAAGCCGATATCCTCTTCAACTCAAGAGACATCAACACCCATAAGCTTTTTCCGAATCCTCCAAGAGCATAGTAACAAAGCGACCGTAAGAACAGGGGATACTCCGTCAAACTGAACAAGAGATAAAAACGGTCTCACTAGACTAGAATCTCTCTTGAAAGGAAACTGCGTTGTTGAACGCCAGACTTATCAGCTGTTGAATGACGATATGAAGCCGATAGTGAGAATGTAGACAGACAGTTCAAACATTGGGGAACTCCTATCCACTTCACATTAGAAGTTGGTGACGATGGAATTCCGAAAAACGAAAACGTTGAAATTTGGGTTCCTGAAGAGACAGTTTAAAGGTTGAGGACTACGCAACAACTAATTAACGAAGTCTGTCTGAGGGTTCTTTAAAACTGTTTTCAGAGCATTGCAAACTGCAGTGACAGGGGTCGAATAAACAATTTGAGATGCATCATACGCTTCCCTTTAATCATGAAAAGATGACTATCCTTTGAAATATATAAGCGAGACAGCCGATTTCACTCACCATTTAAATGGGTTTTTTTATTCAGTTGAACTGCTTGGCTCGTTACTACATCAGTTAGCAATGAAAACAAGATATCCACCCTCTGGATGTACCAATCAATCAAGTGTACCGGATTTTGCGCGTTCCGATTCCAGAAGTTAGTGGGGGCTTCGTCTTCAACCACACCAATATTCCAACGAAACAGATAATTGGATTATTATAGAAATAAATTCTTCAACAGTAGAACCCGAATTTTTGTGATCTATTTCGACCTATGTGAAGTTCAGTACTATTATGGCTCCAAACTACTTTTGTTTCGCTGTTCGGCGGTTTTCTTCTCCTATATTCTATTAATCGTTACAAGGTGCATGTTGTTGTTAAGGTTTCCTTCAACAAACCGTCATGCACATACGCACATAGACGCACAGACCATCTGGTCAGACTTGCGAAACCGCACCATTCTGACCCGCCTGTGCTGCATATTATACTTTGACTCTCAGTGCTGCCAATGTCGAATAGACGTAGCAGTCCAACCTGGACTGTAGTAGATCGGTCTATTCTCACTTTCTTTCACTTCACCTAACTTCCTATCATCTTCCTATGTTGTTGCATGGACTTCCTCGATCTTCCAATGCAGAGTAAACACACTGATGAAGCAGTGCTCAGCTACAGGTTTGGGACTCCTGAAACTAATATGTCTTAATAGATTGGTTTCAGTCAAGGCCAAAGACCCTGTTCTGGGACAGCATTAATCCAGCAGCAATAGTTTACCATATTTCCACTTATCTGGAGTTCATCTAACGTCAGCAGGTACATATTCGGAGAAAAACTGAGAAATCAGACATCCTTGACGGACACCGCTGGTGATCAGGAGGAGTAACGAACACTAACTATAGACTCGAACCTGGCCGGATTTACTTTGGTTCCCCTGAGACTCGGAATTGGGACTCACATGTTTAGTCTTCGCTAGAGGCTTGTAATCAGTGTCCGGTCAGACTCGCGGCTGGCTTTATCTGCAACTATCCTTTTATGACCGGTCGACTGGAAGGAATCATGACGATTACAGATAGCCTATGATCTCTTAGCCTATTTGGCTTGGTCACTGCACAAAGCTTCTTCTTCATTCCAGACTCCTGGACAATCCCATCGTGGTTCAAAACAGCAGGAAGGGGACGTCAAAGATCCAGTATGCGGAAGTTCACTAAATGTTCACGGTTAATCACGGATATCGACAAACTGTAAAGAGCAAATTAAATGGCTGATCGAAAATTGCCCAGATTAACAGGTGTCTTGTGGTCCAGCTTCCGAGCTGAATGTTACGGCAGTGAAGCATCGGTGTTGAACACTGATGCCATGCTGTCGATGATGATGATGACGACGAGCTGAATGTCATTGAAATTCTTCCTCCTGCTGCTTAGGCAAAGATTTTGCTGATTTCTTTTGATAAATGTATTCCATCTCCATAGGGTCGCAATGCGATTTTGCCACAGACAGCGACCAAAATCGAAAAAGCTCAAATCATCCAAATGTATTTGCTATGTAATCCGAAAGAATTGGATAGGGTGACCTTAAATCCATAACTAGGTGGGCAATATATGCTTCCGAAGGGCGCCAACCTAGAGAGAGGAAGCTGGCCTGTTTCGATGCTGTCTTGTTCTGTGGGATGAACTGCGGTGTACTTCAATAATCCATACATTCAGGCCTCTTGTTTTTTATCATTTCCCCCGTAATATTGGGCTTACCTGATTAAGACCATGTTTCCTATTTCCCTGTCTTCAGAATGAACTTCTTCACGGCATGATAGACCAGGATTAGCATTGCCTACTGGTGCAGTGCCGTCAACTGAGACGCACAGGTGGAATTGGTATAAAAAATCACGAGCTGCGTGCTATGTCTAGAAGTACACTCACAAGCCGGCGGAAGGACGGGTGTGATGTAAAAAACAAAGTGTAGCCAGAATCCAAATAAAAGTAAATAAAATCTAGAAAAATGGATCATTATAAGAGATAAACGGTCCTGGATACCCTTTAATGGAACTGGTTCAATTCACCATCATCTGGTTTCGAACCGAATGTTCCATGCATCCATTGGTTTCAGAACATCTCGGGCCCCAAATAAAAAATAAGAAATTTCAGAAATTGAATAAAAAGCGCTATAGAGGATATGGAATCTGAAATGATTCAATGAAGTAACATCCGTCCACTTGTAGAGTGTCCAATCCAGAATCACCCTTAGCATTCCTAACAGCTTTCACGAGTGGAATTTGCAGCGAACCTCCAACCCAACTTAGATCTATACAGTGAATGACAGAAACCGGACTTGATTATGTTGTGTACGTCAAAAAAATCTTCGTAGCATGCACGAACACGCGTTGACACGAAAAAAGGAACACTACACTCAGAAATACCTGGGGAAGACCATGACTTCAATCAAATTACACATGAAATTCATGGTTGCTTTGGGCGGTTCGTCATTTTCGCACGGCTGGCGAAGTACGATGAGCTTGAATGGACTGATACCAGGATACTCCGCAGTACAATACTCGGGTGAATCAGAAAGTGATCCACCAACACAAAAGTCCAATACTGCAGGGAACTGAAACAGCACCCCAAGACATAAACTGGCGGCCAAATTGAAAAGGTGGAGCTGATTCTGAAAAAGAACATAGGAATGAAATATCAAATTATACTACTTGAGGAAAATAAATTTTCTCGAAAATCAGCCAGTAGCAGTGTGCCAACCACTTCGTACTTACCGTATTAGAGAGCGCAATGCAATAAACAGGACAGATTATACAGGCTTTCAAGAAATTCGGTTGCTTAGAGCCTGTAAGGTTAAACAGGTGCGTTTGCTGAATTAGACCCGCTGCACCTGAAGTGTAAAATGTGGCTTGCTCTGACTGGAATAAGGAGTGGAATACAATTAGAACCAGGAACTCCAAACGACTTGCCAGTTGTAGTGTCCACGTATGGTCCAAGTGGTAAGTAGCTGCAAAACAGGGAAAACTTGAGGCGGGATAACGTACTGCCTTCTGGATGAGCAAGTTGAATGCCTCAGTATCGTTTTTAGCTAGGGCTAAATAAGTTGGAGAAATGAAGAAGAATCTAAACAGACCGACCTGATTTAAAAGTGGTCAAGTCGAGACTGGTCCAATGGAGAAGTTGGTCGGCGAGAAGTAACAGATCGAACCTGTCTGAATTGCGGAACTAGTATATGAACCCGAAAGAACCCTACCCTCTGAGAGCGGTAGAATGCGTACAGTGCGCACAAATCCGAATGTGGACTGCTCAGCAACTATAGAAATCCAGTTATATGACTTACCAGAGAGAAAGTGCGATCGCACTCAGTGGGAAGATATATATTCAGTGCTCCTTTTTGGTCGGTGAAAAGTATGACAGACCCATCTGGTGTGATAGCAATACCAGTGACAACGGTATCTAGAGAGTAACCGGACTGATGTGGTAACGTACTGTGTGTCAAACAGGATGCGACCGAGTAGTCTTGATTACAAAGTAACAAGGACCGGTCGAAAGAAAACACATGGACATTGGTCTCAGATATGCCATGCACTTCAATTGGCTACCGGGACTAGAAACAAACATATGTGCGGAAAACATACCTGATCATCATTATCAACCTCTAGACACTCGATTACTTCATATATGGCAGTCATTGTACGCGGATGCATAAACCTAGGGGATATGTAGAGTGGGACTGAAACTACGAGTTATTATGGAATCATAAAAAGAACGATTACACTACAGAGATAGGTTTGATCCTGTTAGTGCTCGATAACAGAATTTTGTATTACTTTACTCAAGTGCGTGCAAATTCGCCTCCGACTCCTGTATTTCGTGCGTGGATAAGAATGCTATTCTTCTCTAGACACTGTCGAAAGAAAACTGACGGTTGCTCGAACAGGCTTATCACCTAAAATTACTCGCTGAAAGGAATGAAGTTTCCCGCTGTCACGTGTGAGATCAAACGGCGAGCTCTTCAAAAGCTTCCGTACGCAAAGTGGTGTTCATCAGAGATGCCCACTCTTTCAATTCCATTTTAACTTCATGATCAATAAGATAATGAGGCGAACGCTGGAAGGCCTCCATCACCCTGGCATCCAAATATCCTGTGAAGAAAACCTTGTCGATCTGGAGTATGCAAATGATATCGGTCTCATCTTCGAAGAGGAGAAAGCGCAGGTGTTTTTAGATGAACTGACCAAAGACATCCCGTCCTTTGGTACGCACTTTGCAATCACAAAGTGTAAGGTCATGCTAGTGGACATGAAATCACTGAACGCGCCACTTACAATCCAGGGAGAGGTACTGGAAGGTAGTGAAGCGTTATACATATCTTGGAAGTTTATTAGTTCTGATTATAGTATGACAGATGAGGTCAATGTACTAATCTGTAAGGCTTGGGGGGCGCTTGCTAACTTGAGACACCTATGACGTCAGAATGGTTTATCCCTGAATCTGAAGGGACGTGTGTATCAAGCTACAGTACGGGCTGTTTTGTTGTATGACTGTGAGACTTGGCCTATTCGAGCAGCGGAACTGAGACGTCTTCAGGTGTTCGACAATCGTTGTCTTAGAACCATACCTCGTGTGGGTTGGTGTCGGCGAATCCATAACGAGACAGTTAGAAAGCGAGTTTTCGGTTGTGTAACGGGTACTTCCATTGAAGAATGTGTCCAGCACCAGAAGCTGCGTTGGTATGGACGTGTTGCATCCGCCGAAACTTCGCTTGCCGAACCTTCAATGGCCAACTCAAAGTGGCGTAAGCAGAGAGGTGGTCAACCGCTGACTCAGCTAAGAGGTACGAAGGAGATTACGAGACGGTTGGGTCGGTGCCAATCAGCCTCCAGGATGGAGACCGCGTAATCCCCACTGCCAACCGATGTTAGTGGGGATCTTGTTGTCAGTTTCTATCCCGATTGTCTGAATGAGTGTGTGGATATGTGGACACGTCGGAATGACTGTAGTAAGCTAGCACTAGCGAAGGCACGCCCTCTACGCGGTTCACCTTAACCCCCTGGAAACTTGTGCAAAAACGAAACTTATCACGAAAAGATTCGATTGGCCTAGTCTGAATAAGGTCACCCAACAATAGGCGAGTCTGCGCCTCCCATGTGAACGCACAAAAGCAAACTGCCGTGCATAAAGTCTGGTTTATAAAGCTCCCGTACCGGATTTTTGCTCTGAACACGTTTAAATTGATTCTGCGGCCCCTTTACAATACCGGTGTCAACCGTTCGGCACCAAATTTACGAGGCGACCACCAGGTGAAATTCGATTGGAACGATGTTACATGCGTTTGATCGGGTTCGGAAAGAAGTGTCTGGATTCTTATCAGATAAGTGAATCTTAGACAGCTGGCAGTCTGCAAATACCACACCATTTGTATTGCAAATGTTATCACCTAAAACTGAAGGAACGATTGCCCTCAGTGTGAATTATAGTCACCACGTCAAAAATTCGTGTGTTAATCTTATTGAGTGTGCCACAACAATGGAGCTTGACCATTATCCAACTATTGGGTCGGTTAGCTTGACGTCCGACTAACAGAAAGGTGGGTGAACGACCAGTCTAGCATCCGTCACGTGATTGGCAGAAGCTGACTAATCACTAAAGTCCCCAAGAGTCGGTGGCCCACCAGAATCATTAACATGTTATTCAGCCACCGGCAGTGGTCTGTTGATCTACTGGAGTAAGAGCGTGACTCGGAATCAGAGGATAGGCGTTCTTAAATCGATTCGCTGCTGAGCTTCAATTGGAAACTCGCTCCTACTTGCCTGTTAGGGAATTAGCCAATCAGAATGCTGGCTTCTTGCGAACTGGATTAGGAAGTCGATTCATGCACAAGCCAAAC